GAGGCTTGAATTGTCAATCCACATCAGACCGATCGCAATAAATCATTCATAATTATATATTTGGAGAGATTCGAGCACTTACTAATATTGTGAAGTACCACTCATTTGTGAGTAGTATGGTTCGAGTGCGTAATAGGATACGGCAGACGGACTCTCAATGGTCAGAAATGAGAAAGCCTCCTGGAGCGAACAAGTGTACTTAAAACTGTAAATACAGATAATGCACATTTATAATGACAGACCAGTCCATGAGATAACCTGCTTACTTAGAGAATATGCTCAACCTATCTCGGATGAGACGTTTCGTTTTATTTTATCCAATTTATTGATACTCTTATCGTTGTTCCTAATAAAAAATTCTCCTCGACCCTGTACTGGCCTTTTGGAATAGTTACAGTACGACTTGCAGAGGTGATAACATTTCATCAATGCAAACCCAACCCCATTCTTTTTTTTATTACTCATCACTCTGTGATGAACAGCAGTCGGGGCGGATCCCATAGTCACCTCATAGTTCGATGAGGGTGACCGGCAACCTAAGCCCCGGGGCTTGGAGTGGCGAACCACATAAGGTCCCGCTACCTTAGGCGTGGTAAAGATGTGGGCGACAGCATAGCTGCCTACCACCAAAGTTCTGTGGCGGTGGCCGGGCTCGAACCACAGGGTCCAAAGCACGCCGGTGACAGCGACTAAACCACTGCGCTATCAACACCCTTATTATGACCTAGTATATTCTGATTTATAATTTACCTTTTCTGTACTAAATACCAGTTACTTCTCAAAGTGCATTGGGCGAATTCCCAATTTTTTCTTTTTACTTTTACCTCGGGGAGAGAATGCTTCACGTAAATCACATTTGAACGTTTCCCCTTTTTCTGTCTTCTACTTTACCAACTGTAGGAATGTATTCGTGCTCTTGGACGCAAAGGTGCCCATTTACCCTTCCGTGCGAGTAAGCTGACCCAAGTTCTGAGGGACTCATTCATCGGTGATCGATCCAGGACATGCATGATTGCTATGATCTCCCCTGGAATGTCCAGTTGTGAGCATACGTTGAACACACTGCGCTACGCAGATCGGTGAGTTGACCGTTCTTTCCACGCATCTTGTGACAATATTGTTGCATCAACTAAAACGTGTGCCGTTCATTCTATCCTTCGTACGCTTTGTAATATACCTCTTATCTCGTTTCAGAGTCAAAGAACTTGGACCGACCAGCCTCTCTGCTGGTAAGCGCACCAACCATAGACTTAGTACTATTCCCGTCACCTAGCTAGGGCAATGATTTGGTTATGTACTCACGGGTATATTGTTTTTCGTCCTTCTAGTGTTTGTTCAGTTCATATACTTCACAAGAATATCGCGTTTCGGTAGATTGGTACGCACTAGACTGGAATTCGCCTCTTGGTCGTATTAGTTGTGTTCATCCGTTTTCTCTGTTTGAGTCACAATATGAGTTCACACTATGCTGGGATTATATTCTATCGACTGGAACAGTACATGTTTGCTCTATGCTGTAGCAATCGTCTGGTGACAATGAAAGAAACAGTTACAAGATCTAGAGTAAGGTATTGGTCACGGTGTCGTTTCATCTAGTTCTCAATCATACTGATTAGGTTGTTTCCACTTGAAGCATTCAGTTTATGGTAAATAGTTCGTTTTTGCTCAATAGTCCGCACCAAGCTGTTGGTTTTTGATTTTTCTGCTAATCTTTTTATGCAAGGAAAACGCATAACGATGATACACACACTGTCTTGTAATTGTCATTCCTTTAGGGAACAGCAACACGGATCTGTTACCCTCTGCCGCAAACCGAAATGGCATCAACAACCGCGCGGCAACCGGCGCCGGCACCGCCTATGGGGACGTGGGAAATATACCTGCTCAGCATGGGGTAAGCTCCTCACGAAACAACTACTTGGACCCAGCTGGGTCGGGTCTGGGCAATGGCAATTGGACTGGGAATAGCACACTTGTGAATCAGACTGCGCGTAACGGTCTATCAGAAGTGGATGATTTGGCCATGCTGAGGTCAGCCAGTGTACGTTTCACGTTGACTGTGCACCACAGAGTGCGGATTTATTTAGCATACGAACGGTTATGGAATGCGGTTCCATCTCTTCTGGTTTAATCGGTTATCTGCACAATTAGCGTTGCATCTATGCAATTCATCGATCCAGTTCTCACCCGTTTTGGTTCCTGTTCGCAATGGAGTGCATGATGCCCTTTCGGGTACTCCATTGCCATTTGTCATCGTCGTTCGTCTCGCAACCCAACTCTTCCCATAGATTGCACTCTCGGTAAATCATGCATATTTTGGTTTTTCCTGCCGATTACCCTTGAAGTATATGTAGCTATTGCCTCTCGTTGGTAGCTTTGGTGTGTGTACTCTGTCTGATTGGGATTCGCGCAAGCTATGTCGTTGGGAAGGTTACCACGATTATTTCGCCGGGGATATTCACTTTGTATTTGCTTGTTCATTCGTCCTTGAGCCGCCATGTCGCATGTCTTGATGAGTGCATTACACCCGCCCACACAGTTAGTGTATTTCCTTTTTGGCGCATGTCGCATGCTGTTAACCGAGCTGCTGTAACTGTTATGTTGACACACTCGCCTCCGCTTTCTCTAGAAACGTATTCAGACTTATTTATTGGTTGTTTCATAGATCTGTTCCTTCGTGTGTCGGTAATGCATTCTGTTGAGCGATGTGCTGTAATTATGGGATTGTGCAAATCGTTCAGCGTTTGACTTTTCATTAGGATATTTAGTTAGGCGGAAATTAGTTTCTGGGTTCATATCTAACCCCTTCGAAAAAGTCATTCCCGTTGTCACCACTATCGAGTTGCTGAAATAATATTCGAGACATTGTTCTCAATAGTTTTTGACATACGTCAACGTATCCCAATTGTGCTGTAGTCGTCGATTATTATCACAAATCAGGTGCGCTCAACTGGCAATGTTAGTTAGTCTCAGCTCACCCCACTCCGTTGATGAGTTTCGTCATTAAACAATTTGTAAGCGGTAATTTTTATCAGGCTTATGTCATGCTGCTGCATGCATAGACAATTTCGTTACTCCACCTTTCGATAACCGTGCGATGGATCTGATGCCTGGTCTGATTCTGTTTCCCCTTCTTTATGAATCTCTTTGCTCTTATTTACCCTGAGTTTTGTTTTCCGTTTGTCGTGTTTTCCGCAGTGCTTTCCTTATCCACATTGCTCTAGTTTGCGAGCCGATGTATGGTGCACCAACGACTAGTTTTTCAATCAATGATTTCGCTTGTGAGACTGCTGTTAAAGTCAGAATCAAAGTTCACCGCGAGTTCAATTAAGTGAATCCATGTTTCCCCCTGTAACGTAAATAGAAGCTGCTTATGGGTAGGCGAAATTAAAATTATACGCCCCTATCTGGAAGTTGATGATTCATCACAGTTGAATAAATTTTCCTTTGTCTGTACTGATTCTGTCTCTCGCTTTATATCTTTTTAGGATGGGGAAATCACAGAGGAGCTTTTCACATTCCAAGAAGTGGTCACTCAAATCGAGCGCATGGAAGAAGAAGTTTGTGATGATCATAAGGCCTTGTGTGACGTAAGTATGCGATTTGATGGTTTGCTGCGGCGTGACGGTGGATCTGACCATTAGTTTGTTGTTTTTATTGGTCACAATAATAGAAATATAATTTGGCAGGAAAACGTGTTTCAAGCTAAAACTTGTATGTGTACCAGATTTCCTGAGCTGATGCGAAAATTGCTTGTTACTGGAAAATCCTCGTCAGGGTGGGTTTCAGGCAGATTTATCTGCTCCGAGTCCAAATCGCAAAACAGTTGACCATTTTTCGAACCCCAGTCACCTACATTCCCATTAGTTTCCATGCTTTTCGCGAATCAAAGTTGATAGAAATTCAAACTCCTTGTATAATCAAGTGAGGGTACAAATGCAAATGTCTTCACACTCATTCCATATTCCAAGTGACTTGGGTAGGAATCCTATCGAGATGGCCTTCAAATTTAGCTCAAAACGTTTCAGTATTGCTGTGAGTGGTTGTCTTGGGCTGTAATTGGTCATCCTTGCGTTGCACCTCGCGAAATGCCCTATATCACCGAGCGTCTCAAATGGTCCCTGCTAAGGAAACCTTATTGACTACCTTCAAGTGATGGAAGTGTTTCCCCACCAATGTGAGTGAACATAAAGCAAACATTCATAACTATAACCGGATCGGTGAACCACTGGTTGCTCGCTTAAGGAAGTTGGTTAAAGATCCTGATCTCAGACTAACCAAGGAGAGACGAATAAACCACCCCTGTTCCTCATTAAGCATTGGTCACCGGCTTAATCGGGTATCGAGGTGTATCGGGTACCGTAGACGTTTTACCCTATCCAAAGGGTGTATGATCCGATGGCCTGGGCACAGGCCTCCAGGAGATTGCGATTTTCACACCCCGCCCCACTGCCTTGCGGATTATGCGTTGGCTAGCCAAAGGCTCCGAATGTAATTTTCTTAGGGACATAAACCGGCTTTGGCTTGGACAAGCTGACAGTATTCCACTCACTGAGAAATCATGTACGTTTTTTTTGTTATAAAATTTATTGTACCGTCACTTGTTTGGGACACAATGTGGAATCACCTGGACTCCCAACCAGTCATTGTCATCCAAGTGTTTTCCTTCTTCAACGCCGGCATACTATGTTTGCCCTC